TTTATACTCATGAATTGTTTCAATGCCCTAGTTAGTAGTTCTCTAATGCTTTGCTTATGCTTTAAAAGTAAGTTCTTACCATGCTTGGATCACTTGCTATGATTTTCGTGACTTGAATTGAAATCTCATGATTTGAAACTTGTCCTAATAAGTGAGAACCTTAATTTGAAATTTTAATTATCATCCTTATGCATTTGAAAATGAACACATGGATTTTAAAATATTTAGGCTCTCTTCTTCCTTTTTACCACTCTTTGTGAGCCTAAGTAGAACTCTCACCTTGACCCTTATCCTTCTTTGAAGCCAAATGTTTTTTGTGTGACATCATTGTGAGGCCTTCTTTTCGGTTTTGAACTTAGCATAAAGTGTTAGGTTTAGGCGACATGATTTGATTCTCCTATGATTGCTAGCTTTGCATTTTGAAGCTAGGTATATGCTTAGGATAAGTTTGGGGGATCATTGGGGTTGTTTTTATTTCTATTTGTTCTCGGTTTCAAAGGGTTTGGTGATTGAAAGAAAGAAATGGGTTTTAAGTGAAAGGTTATGTTTAAAAACTATGTATATGCTATAATAAATTTCAGGAGGTAGCTCTCCCAAATAGAAAAAAAAAAAAAAAAAAAAGAGAGCCTAAGTGCCAAATAAAAATAACAAAAATAAAAAAAAATACAAAAAAGAGAAAAGAATAAAAAAATAAATAAGAGAGCTACCAATAAGAAATAAAAAGAGCAAAATTATTTTCAAAACCTTTTCACTAGCCTAAAGAGTTTAAAAATATTTTTATTTCGAATTGGGGAATGCTAAGCTTTGAAAAAAAAGAAGGATAGATTCTAAGTGGTGAGTGAGGATAAAAGTTGATAAATAAGAGGGGTTTAGGATCATTGTTAGTTTACATGGGTAGATGAGAATCTGATCATGTATGCATCAATTGTCTTTACCTTTAGCATTATGCATAAGTTCAACCATTTTTGAGAGAAACCCTTGTTTTAATTGAAAACCCTTTTCAAATGAGATCATTCTATGCTCATAACCTACACCCTTAGCCAAATGTGTTTTGCTTTAAAGTGCATAAGTTTGATTCATGGTTCGAATGTTAATGAATGTTAAAGGATGATTTCCTTTGATTGTTAGGAATAGGAGAGTCATGATCTGAATTTCTTTGTGTGATGAGTATGGCTAAGTTCTTTGGAGTATGAGTGTGAGCATAGCATTTTAGAACTGTTAACTAGGACATTGAGATTGATTCATTTGAAAGGCACCTTTGCAAGAAGCTTAAACCCCCATTCGTTTTTCTTAAAACCTCTCTTCCTTACCTATTTTCTGTTGCTTGAGGGCAAGCAAGAAGTAAGTTTGCGGGAGTTGATGTTACTGCATATTACATATATTTTGCATACTCATTAGTTAGCTTTTCATGCATTTACATCACATTTTAGACTAGATTGCATCACTTAGAGTCCTAGAGCATTCTTGCACCAGCATACGCATGTTCCTTGCATTTTGCATCACATTCAGGTTGTTTCTGGCTGCTTTGGAGTTGTGGAGGTTCGTGGACGTGCTGAAGCTGTTGCAGCGGTTCGTGGAAGCTCGGATATTTGCTAAGGATCAGAGATCGAGGAACAGATCGAGCACGGCAGGTCGATCTAGGATGAGATCGACCAGAAGATCGAGAAGACCAGGCGATCCAAGGAAAATGATCGAGACGAAGATCGAGTGAAGCAGTCGATCAAACGGTACGGACGTAAATGACGCCATGCAGAGCGAGAGCCGGATCGAGTCTACCACTCGATCCAACCGAAGATCGATGCCAAGATCGGATGCAACACTCGATCCGCCGAAGATGATCGAGACCCAGATCGAGCTGAAGACACGATATTTGGAGATGATCGAGAGAGCCGCTCGATCCCGGAGTCGGTCTCTGTCCTTTCAACCACTTTTGGCCGCTAGCGAGGGGGGGGGACCATCAGCTTGTTTTGGCCATTTTGGGAAGGCGGCGACGTCCTTTTCCCACACAACTTTTGATCCTTATCTTTTTTATGCTTTTCTCTCTGGTTTTGAGGAAGAACACCATTATCGAACCTTGAGTTTTTTTTTAGCTTTGTAATCGAATCGTTTTCAGTTTAATCTAGTTTTCTTTTCATGTTCATCGTTTCCTTTTCCATGCTTTGCTTGATTTACTTTATGTGTAGTGAGTAGTTCATTTGGGTTCGGGGTTGAGAGGATTAAGGGGTCTAAAGGGTTTCGATCTTGGGGTTTTCTAAGTGTTTTAATGGCTATCTCTTCTAGGGTGTTGAGTTCTCAAAGCTTAAAGACTCTCACGCCAAGAGCTTTATGATCCGAGAGGTTCCTTACCTTGACAGGATTCAGGGACCTCTGAAGATCACACCCTAGAGACTAGTTACCCCTTCCCAGAAGCCATGGAAGTTTGGGGGACTAGTTAAGCCACTCGTTTGAAATCTGTTATCCATGCCCTTCGACCTCTCTTTCCACCAAAAGCCATGGGTTTGGAGGAGAGGACAAAAGAGTGATCTATACCGAAAGCCACGTATAGATCTTGCTTTTTCAAGGCTTAGAGATTCTCACAAAGTGAGTCGATTTAAAATTTTCAACCTAAGGTCGAACTTTTGAAACCCCTGACCATGAATCTCAACCCTAGGCCCTCTCTTTTAGCATCTTTACATATTCTCTTGTCATTCGCTTGATCTTTGATAGCATCCTGGTCGTTAGTTTTACTGTTCTTGCATTTTTAGATGATTGTTCGATCTAGTGGTCGATCTCTTGGTCGATCCACTAGTCGAATTTTAGTAATTTGAAGCTTTGTCCTTTAATTATTCTGTTTGTTCCACATGGTAGTTTGATCATTCCTGGTAATATTTAAATAGTTTGCATTCCATTTAGTTGCTGCATCTAGTTTTTAGGGATTTTCTCAAAACCTATCTTGTTTCGCTTAGGTTTGCATAGTCTTTGCATTCTCTTTGCATTTTCTATCATCCTAGGTGTGGATTGACTCTCTCTTGCATACTGTGCTACAGCCTGTCTTGCTTTTGAGTTTGATAACCTCATTGCATACTCACCCTTGCAAACAAAGTGTTTATCAGGTTGATGGCGAGAGAGAGAGATGAGGGAGATTAGATTGACGGCAAGAGAGGAAAGAGATGAGGTTCACGGCGAGAGAGAAGGGAGAGGAGAGGGAGGCGCCGTTTTAGAGAGAGAGATATATTTTATTTTTAACAAAATTAGGTTAAACTCTGCTTATATATAAATGTAAAGTCTCAGGTTCAGTTTTAAAAAAAATCGGTTTTGACCTAGTGAAAAAGAATGGTTGCTTTATTTTGAATAGCAAACTTCTTTTGACGTCTACCAATGAAGTCTGCTAATGAAGTCTACATTTAACCAGAAACCCTAAATCATATATTTTAGTTTTGTTATCATAACCCTAATCATTAATTTTCTTAGCATTTTCACATTTAAAATTTAAAATAACAATGATATGGACTCTAAATCATTAACCAAATCATAAACTCTGATTCATATATAATTTGGATTTACCCTAACAATACCCTAAACTTTACACCTCAAACCCTAACCCTTTTCAACCTTATACTTATAAAACTTATAAATTGATTTATTTTCATGAAGTTTTATTTAATATAGATGTCAATTGTCTATGTTTTGGTTATGTTTATAATTTTTGTATCATAATATTTTTTTATAATTTTAGTAAAAAAAAATTAAGATTTAATTATGTATTAGACTTCTATAGTAAACTTCTAAGGGGTTGTATGTTTTCTAGTTAATTTTTTTTTCTGCATTTAAATTGATTCATTTGTATGAAATTTTTTATTCTATACATGTCAAATATATATGTCTTCCTTATGTTTACCAATTTTTTAGAAATTTATTTATTTTATATTTTTTAATTAATTTTTTAAAAACTAATTATGTAGTAGACTTCATTAGTAGTCTACAAAAATAGATTTCTTTAGAAGTCTACAATTGTAGACTTTTACGTAGACTTCCCGAAGGATAAAATCGTAACTGTGGCAGACGTTTTTTGTTTAGCCACAAAGGACAAAGTTATAATTTCACTACCCTTTTGGGTTAGTTTTGCCAAACATTCAATAAGAGGTCTACATATTTAGAAAAAAATCAACTTTTAGGTTATAATGAACAATTCTTCATATATTTATTTATAAAATATTTAATGCAGCTGTATAAATTAGAATTATAAATCAATTATTTAAGCTAATAAAATATAATATATAATATATAAAATATAAAATTAGTTTAACATCAATTTAAAAATAAACTAAAAACCTGCGCATATGCGCGTGTACTCTCCTAGTCTTCTTAAATTCCGTATACCATACATTATAAAAATACACGACAAGTTTGCATGTGACTTTGACTTTTGCGTAATTCATATTCATATTTGCATGCATATTTGTGAAAAATTTGAAGTATGACTTTTATGTGTTAAAATAAAATAATAAATTTTATGGTTTGTAATATATTTTATAATGTATGGTTCAATTTTAAAGAGAAATAACTATGTATATTTATGCATGTATGTACAGGTTAGAAATAATTAAGTGAATTGTAATATTTGTATTGGTTAGTTTTTCCGATACTTTTTGCAAACGTTATGTTTTTTATACGATGCAGTTTTTGGCGTTTAACAATAATGATAAAAAAAAATTATATCATTTTGTATTTAATCAAAATTTCCTATTTTTAAATGTTTGTTGATATATGACTTCAAATTAAAATTTATATTAAATATTACAAAAATTACAAAGAAGTTTTTGAAAAATCAAAAATACACCCACCCAATAATGTATTTAATCTTCTAAAATTCCTAATCTAAATACACATACCCAATAATGTCCCACAAAGCATGTTTTTAGTCGTTATTTTTAAATGTGAAAGTTTATCTCAACTTAAAACATTGATATATAGAACAAATATTAAAACATATTATATTTTTTTCCGGATGAGATGCAACTCTAGATACGGAAAAAATCATTTTTTTCAGGTTTACAATCCATTTTGAAATACAGATTAAAAACATCCATCTCACATTTCTTCAAACATATGCCAATCTCCACATCCCACGTCTCTGACATAGAAATGAGAAGGTTTTCACTGACAGATATATTTTCAGTATGAACGGGTCTTCCCCACCCAAAATCCGACCCATATATCCCACATTTGTTAGACCCAATAACGGCCAGCTTTGGTGTACCGAGTTCCATCACTTTTAATCCTTCCTCATGCAACTCCCATATTGACTCAGCCCCTCGAGAACTCAAATCACTGATCCAATCACTGAGAATCTTGACACCATTAACGAATCCATCTTCTCCCAAAAACGTCTCTACTTTGTATCCAGAGAAATTGATAGGCATCACACAGTTCCCAAAGTAGGTCATAGGAACCGGCGGGTCTAGCCTTTCTCTGAAATCAGCATTGTACACGAAAGGAACTGGTTGATTTGCATCGCCTCCACGTGTCTTCACCACACAAGTCAATACATAGGTGTAAGTGACTACGAAAGTTGACAGGTGAAGATCCGAGCGAGTTGACTCGCTTTTGGCTCGCTCTTTGAGTTTCTTTACATTCTTCAGAGTCAGCTCGAACGTGAACCTGACGACATCATCAATCTCTTTGGCCGAGGGCGCATAAGGGTTCTTATGTTTTCATTGTCTTGTGAGAGAAACATAGGAAGTTGGAAGATCTTCCATTCGAGTTCGGCTGGAAGATTGATAACCTTATGATCTAAAAGCATAGGTGAATCAAAATCTTGCGGCATTGTTCCGTATTTACTGATGTGAGCCCATGATTTTAAAAATTTCACCACAGTTTTGCCGTCCATGGCAGCATGGTGGAATGTGGCTCCAATGCAAAAGCCTTGTTTCAGGAACAAAGTGATTTTCAGGGTAAGAATAGAGGCTGAGTCAGAGGAAACCGGTGACTCAGGCACTAGAGTGCATAACTCAGTCTGGTAACAGAGCCCTTTGCCGGAGATACGAGAGAAATCGGCCTCAGTCTCGACCACTGTGCAGGAGACAACATCTTGCGGTAATATGATGATGTGCGGCTTTGGGTCTTGTGGATCCCATCTGATAGCTGTTGTTATAAGAGAACACGATCAGAGGTAAGTAATCTTCCCAAACACCTTTCCAATCTAGGATACACAGCCTTAGCAAGTCTTCCAGTGTTCGTATCGTCCTTTCGGTCTGGCCGTTTGTCTCTGGATGGAACGCTGTACTGATATGCAGCTCGGTTCCTAATGCACCTTGTAATGCTCTGCTGTAAACCTCGGGTCTCGGTCTGACACTTATTTATCGGTACTCCGTGTCGTCTCACAATCTGGTTCAAGTATAGGATCGTCAAGGTTTCCACCTTGTCGGAGTCCCTAATAGCCAATAAATGTGTAGCCTTTGTCAGTCGGTCCATAATTACCTATACGTCATTGTTCATTTTTCCCCATCAGATCTTCTAGCTGCGTCTATAATTCAGCTAACTCGGCTGGGGCCATCCAATAGGGGGTCTTTGGTATTAGCGCTGCTCCCGACTCTTAAGATTATAGTGAACGGATTCTTCCTTGGCGGGGGTAACTTTGTCAGCGGCTCGGACACATCTACGTACTCTCAAACTATCAGGATATCCTCTACCCTCAGCTCTTCATCCTTATCCTCCTGAACAACCCTAATGGCAACTAAATACGCTTCTCTGTATTCTAGTTGTGTTACTACCCTTGTGGCTGCTACTAAGGATACTACCGCACTATGTTTTATCCCATAGTACATTGTATCGGGTTTCTGGTTCTCCCTAAGGGTCACTCTCCCTTTCTCACAATTTAACTGGTTATAACTAGACAGCCAATCCATCCCGAGGATCACCTCGAATTGGCCTAGGGGCATTACTAACAGGTTTTCCCTAAAGGCTGTATCCCTAACCTCTACGGGTACTCTTAAGACCATCCTAACTGCACTAAAGGGTTCATTTCCAGGAGTTAACACGGAAACACTCACATCCTCACTCACTAAAGGAACACTAAACCTAGACGCTACCTCGGGAGTCACAAAACTATGCGTCGCTCCTGAGTCGAACAAAACATGCATGGGATTCCCACCAACATGTAGTGTTCCTACCGAACCAAAAAGAACGCAATTCAAAATGCAAACAATCAAGCAAGCAATCACACGCAACACACAAAAGGGGGTTAGCGCCCAAACTATACCTGTTATGGGACCGTTAGCTGGTCCTGCGGAGTCTAAGGCTACTGCCTCGAGTAACAAACTATTAAACTACCTACTGGGCGGAACATACCGGATTACCTAAGTTGGTTTTTGCGACACCTTTTGACTCGATAAAACATTGAAAACAAGCTTGTCTCGTGAGCATGATCCTAAAACCATGCTCTGATACCACCATATGTAACACCCCCGATTCGATCTATACCCAAGACTGAACCGCGGATGTCACAAAGCCGAGGTTCACTCGATAAGTCAGCCCGTCTCGGAACGAATCCAAGCATAAGGCCGTCTTGCAAAGTTCGCTTGAACCCTCTCGACCAAGGCCTATGGCTTTTCAACCCGTAACCCGATCTCGAGTTGTGGTAGTCCGGACTAGACTAATATCATTAAGCCAGCCTAAGTTTGTAAAAACGTACTTAATATTAATACCATATCCTTTCCGAAAATACGTTCTTACAAACCATATATATAATGCTGCAGCAGAGGGTAAACCCAAAACAAGACGTCTAGTACATACTTTATCTCACAATCGAGTTTTACAAAAACCAACGCAAATCTACTCCGGTGTCCTAACATTCCGCTCCACTTACTAAGGCCATCTACGGGTTACCTGATGGGAAGGAAAAAGGGGGATGAGTAATCTAAGATTACTCAGTGAGTACAGGACTCTCTAACAAGATAACACCCAAAACACCCAAGAAACCCCAAGCAACAAGCAAGCAAACACGCAATAGCCGAAGCAACATAAAGTAAATAGCCGAAGCATGCAATCCTAGATCTATATGCAACTAAACTATATGCAAAGGTGCTACCACTTTTGCACCCAACCGCGTTCTCACAATGCACACATACTACCACACACCACATGCCTCACTCGCGTTGACACAGAGATCTCTAAGTGGGTCGGCCAGTTCCCCTTCCACGAACACCCTGCACTTGACTATCACAAAGAAAAGTCAAGCCGGAATATCGGTACAACGAACACCCTGCACTTGACTATCACGAAGACAAGCCAAGACGGAACATCGGACACCCTGGGAGCTCCTTGGTCGGTTCACATCTCGGGTGGGGGGTTTCCATCCGAGAGCCGCCAAGTGAGTTCAAATCCCAGGCGGGATAACGATGACTCCTCGCTGGTTTCCCGACTATCCCGTCGGATAGTACTCGGCCAGGTTAGCAAAACTTGTCTAGTGCCAAGTATTCCCATCTAGCATTCTGTTGCTAAACTTGGGGAGCGAGGAACTCTGACCACACCGTCACTAAGTCATGAAGGATACAACACCAACATGACTCTGCAGTATAATGGACTCACGCCATTATACACCACATCCGCGTTGATCCACACTTGATCAAACGCCAACACACCTCAACACAACCTCCTAGAATTTAGCGTCCTAGAGTGACAGCAAAGCTAGAACTTATCTAATCCCAACTCTTGTTTACGGTTACAAGCCTAACGCTTGAACCTCGCTCATGCACGTTTATTATAACGCCACTTACATGACTTTCCAGCACATGCAGCGTGTTTTACCATAAACCGCACACTCGCTCATCTGGTGAAGGAACTTGCAAATGGATCTGAGATCCGGCAGTCCTTACACCCTTCTTATCACTCAGTAAGGATGATAACATATCCCATGGACATGCATCAAACCATTACCTCACCCAACGGGTTTTGCAGCACACAAATCTACCAGATCTGAGGCTGTTCCTGCATAAAAATGTTAGTATATACTCAGATCTACACAGATCAGAGCTTCCCTGCATCACACGTTAGTCACACACATACACACAAGCACACAACCTAATCTACCGAGGCTAGTGTTGTGGTACAATACAGATCCGAGATCTACACTGCAGCACGAACAGCAACCGCGAGAGTCCACCACTACTGGGACTCACCAGATCTGACAAAATCTTCCACAAACTCCTCAGATCTAGACACTCACGACCACAAAAACTCAGATCTAAGACCTAAGACACCGCTCACTCACTCAAAACTCAGATCCGAACACTCTCTCACAAAACTGAACTAACTCTCTCTTTTCATTCATGGACTCACACTCTTTTCTTCTCTCTTTCTTTCTCTCTCACACACTCTCTAGCACGCCTAAGGTAGCAACTAATGGGATGAGTTGAGGGTTAAGGGCCTTTATATAGAGTTTCTCCACCAATGAGGTCTTAACACCTTACCTTCTCTCTTCCAACCAATCAGAAAAGGCCAGCACGCCAACTAATCATTCTTATCTCTTCCCCACCAATCAGAAATGAGCATGTGATTAATGTGACTCATTCCTGCCTCCTTAACTGCGAAGTAATGATATATACCTGTCTCTGTCCCGCGTTCACTCCGTTTGGCTTTAATTCGGATCACAAGTGCGTTCATCGACTTCCTACGGGATTTTGATGGTTTCCTTTAGTAGATAGGATCCTCTTAGGATTAGAATAAGTTTCTCAAATTCCCGAGTTGATAGGTTCTTGACCGAGTTGGTTTCTCCTCCATTTAACCCATTTCGCGGCTCGGACGTATCTATCGGATTGTTCGATTTTTAGCGAACTCGTCAGAATTTTTCTTGGAGAAATTCTTTCTTCCATGGCCTTCAGTAGGGGCTTGGCTACCTCCATGCAAAGTCTCGTAGTTTTTAAAATTGTACCGAGGGGTGTCCATAACTGAAAGCTCTGTTCGGGTTGTTTAGCTCTCTGACAGGGTTATTATATTCTCCCCCCTCCCCCCCCCCCCTAAGAGATTTCGTCCTCGAATTCTTAGGCTTGAGATGGTTCTCCTTGCTCCGTCGTTGCATTAAATGCGAAGAATTCTGGGTACTTCTCCTTAAATCGTTGCTCATCCTCCCATGTAACCACCATTTGATTCTGTCTTCCCCAAAAGACTTGTATTTGAGGGATCTCTCTGTTCTTCAGCTTTCGTATCCTTCTGAGTCCGATCTTGAGGGGTCTTTCCGGATAGGTCAAATCCGTTTGTAGCTCTTCTTTTCTCTCAGGCTCGATTGCTTCTGGGTCTCGAATGTGTTTCCGCAGCATTGACACATGAAACACCGGATGTAGATTCATGTCTGATGGCAACTCCAGTTTATACGCTACTTCGCCCACACTTCCTTTAATCTGATACGGCCCGATATATCGGACTGCCAGTTTACTTACTTTCCCGAATCTGTCCTTTCCTTTCTATGCGGATACTTTCAGGTATACCTAGTCTCCAAGTTCAAATGTTACTTCCCGTCATCCTTGATCAGCATACTTCTTCTGGCGTTCTTGAGCCTTCTTCTTGTTCTTTAGAACAACTCGTAATCTTTCCATCGTCTCGTCCACTATTGGAGGCCCGAACACTCTTGTTTCTCCAATTTCTGTCCAGCATAGAGGGGGTTGAATTCTTTTCAATCTCACATACCCCACGCGCTCAAAACACAAAGGCAGACAAGTTAGCACGGGGTTCTCGCGACTACCTTTACAGTTTAAATTATGTAAACTTGACTCCACCATTTTGGTTACCCGAACTATTCTAAGAGTGCGAGGCTATTGACAAAAAAGTGCTAATAATGGATGGCTATATATGAATGTGTTCATAGTCCTTTTCAAGATAAAAGACAATCCATGT